GTATTATATATATATATATATATATATATATTGTGTGTGTGTGTTTAATTAAAAGGATTAACTTATGGACTTAAGACTAACCTAAGTTATTGAGCCTGTAATTCAGCAAGAGTAGAACAACTTGCTAATCCATGCATTCTGATCCTTAACAAGTTTTTTTATGGCAATGGGTACTCCTAGTTAAACTGGTATATTAAATTAGCTACCTAATTATCGATTGGATAAATGTTCAGTTCTTGTTAGGCTTGCCTTTATAAAACATTATTAATAAGACACCAGTATAATAATGTGTTAGTATTAAAAACTAGTGATATACTAACAAGCTTGATGATTGCATACTGTCAATAACATCATATCTGTGATCTGTATACCACCTCCAAGTTTCTTTACTAAAATTTTAAAATGAAGATTCACAATTCCTTTGTCTCTCAAGTAGCTACAATACAAACATATACAGCCAACTGATTCTTTCCAATCTTTGACGTAAATTGTTTTTAAGCACAGTTGTGAATATTTTTATTTTAAACTAAAAACTTAAAATTCTTTTTCCAAGGAACAAAAGAACTTTACCAGTACAAGTATTTTACCAAAGTATGTGATATCTTTACCAGTACAAGTATTTTACCAAAGTATGTACTCTCTTTACCAGTACAAATATTTTACAGAAGTGCAAGATATTTTTACCAGTACAAGTATTTTACAGAAGTGCAAGATATTTTTACCAGTCCAAGTATTTTACTCAAGTATATGATATCTTTACCAGTACAAGTATTTTACTGAAGTATGGGATATCTTTAACAGTACAAGTATTTTACTCAAGTATGTGATATCTTTACCAGTACAAGTATTTTACTAAAGTACATGATATATTTACCAGTACAAGTATTTTCCCAAAGTATGTGATATTTTTACCAGTACAAGTATTTTACCAAAGTACACATTTTTACCAGTACAAATATTTTACCAAAGTATGTGATATCTTTACCAGTACAAGTATTTTACCAAAGTATGTTATATCATGTACTTTGGTAAAATACTTGTACTGGTAACAATATCACATACTTTGGTAAAATGCTTGTACTGGTAAAGATATCATGTACTTTGGTAAAATACTTGTACTGGTAACAATATCATGTACTTTGGTAAAATGCTTGTACTGGTAACAATATCATGTACTTTGGTAAAATGCTTGTACTGGTAAAATATCATGTACTTTGGTAAAATGCTTGTACTGGTAAAGATATCATGTACTTTGGTAAAATACTTGTACTGGTAAAATATCACATACTTTGGTAAAATGCTTGAACTGGTAAAGATATCATGTACTTTGGTAAAATACTTGTACTGATAACAATATCACATACTTTGGTAAAATACTTGTAATGGTAAAGATATCACATACTTTGGTAAAATATTTGTACTGGTAAAAATGTGTACTTTGGTAAAATACTTGTACTGGTAAAAATATCACATACTTTGGTAAAATACTTGTACTGGTAAAGATATCACATACTTTGGTAAAATACTTGTACTGGTAAAGATATCACATACTTTGGTAAAATATTTGTACTGGTAAAAATGTGTACTTTGGTAAAATACTTGTACTGGTAAAAATATCACCCGTGACCTGCAGATTGCGGGTCGAAAGCCCTTATCATCTGGCGACGCCTATCATATTTTTGCGAAATAGAAATTAATGATTAAATGCTTATTTTTAAAAGAGGACGCTAGAGATGTTTTGATGTCATTTAAATTTAAGTACTTTATCGAAACTCCCAGTTCAGAGGCGTACTTGAATAACATAAGAAAATCGGTAAAACTAAAAGCAGATTTACACTTACTGCATGAGCTACCATTGAATCAGTGATTTTTTTTTAATGTGTATTTTTCAAAAAATTAAACCACATTCGTGTGACAGGCTTTCCACGTTGAAATAACACAGGTAATTCATTGAATTTGAACCCTTTTCGGTACCTTACCTTAGATTCTTAATAATGACTTAATGCAACGTTAGTAGTATTAGTAGTAAGTACGTACTGTAAATTGTGTGTGTAATACCAATAGTAAAAAGTTAAACTATTACTAATGTTAATGATTATACTGAGTAAATAGTTTACTTTCTAAGACCGGTGAACAGCACGCGTTGCATTTTTCTATATTCTGTATGCTATAATTGGTAAAAAGTTAAAACTAAAAGAAAAAACGCGTACAATGAAATACAAAAGCTTGGTAATGGTGTTATAATAACCTATATTCACTGTGAAATAAACTTGAATAAGTTGAAATTAAGCCAGTTGACGTAATTTAACTTAGTATTGTGACTTTTACTAAAAGTATGATAAGGTGTCTTATAAGGATCATCATCACAATATCAGTACCATTGACTGCCCATTTTAGGAGATACTGAAATATACTTGTACAGTTGTGGCATAATGTTTAATATGGAATTAATTAAAAATGAAGATCAGTAGGTACTGAAAAGAATTATAAACTGTATTTACCTTTCACATGACAGTCTCATCTACCCAGGGTAGAGTAGGTATCCCACGAAACAGTAGGTTTGTGTAACACTTAACACAGAATTTACCACATGAATGTGACTGTGTTTAGTATGCTTGCAATTAGAATTTAACAAAAATTGAATTTTGTAGATATAAAATTAAAATGTATATACTAATTGTATATTACACATTAGCTTTATGTTATATTAGCAGCATTGGTATTGTTGCGTCAGCGAGGTCACATGACTAGTGTCACGCCACGTTTCTAGAACTATCCTGTACCTTCGTGAATGCCCAGCATTTACTAGATATAGGGTAGTCTGGTATATATAAGATGGTCACAACGTGACGGGACAGTGTATGTGTAGACAGTGAATAATTGATCTGCAGTCAGAGAGTATTATTGAAGTTGAGCACGTTCGTTGTTATAGCGTTTGTTTTAGCGTGATTGTTGAAATTAAGTGTATCGTAAAGAATAAACCAGTTTTATTTAAGAAAGGACTTGTGTCGCTAAAGTTTCGTCGGAACGAAGTTACGGAAAATTAATTAACAAACGGAAACGTAACAATATACTAGAACAAGATAATAGAATGGTGCAAGCAGCATCACATTGTAGTAAAAGTAGATATAGCCAACTTTAGTAGAACTTTTGTTCGTTGATATTAAACTATTTATTTCAGTAAACTGTTTGTACATTGTTCCTATTACATGACTAAATAAACACAGACTTACGGTTTTTGTGATGTTCTCTCTTTTTTTAAATATAACGACAAATTTGCATTCGACCGAAAGAAAATATTTTATGAGCTTATTTTTTTGAACTTCGCATAAAGCTACTGTGCTTTTTTTTATTGTTGTTTCTGAGACCCGAGGCCGCTTTTTACTGTTGAAACCCATTGGCTACTTATGCATCATCGGTGATTCTCGGTCAGATTAATGTGGTGGCGACCATCTCCTCACGTGGTAGCCAGCCGTTCTTAATTAATTTTGCAATGAATGACTACAGGGAAGACACTAGTCAATACTGCCTATCTTACTTATTATTAACACCTCCTAAATTTAACTTTTGGGTTTCTCTTTAACAACGGAAAAGCGAGATTGACTGTCACTGTATAACGAATCCACGGCGAACGTGTTCGGTGACGGGATTTAATCGTAGTAATGGCCGGTGTCTGTAGAGGGCAATTTTTGTTGCTGTTATTTATTAAATATATATGTTTGAATAACACCCCCCCCCCCCAGTGGCACAGCGGTATGTCTGCGGAGTTACAACAATAGAAACCGAGTTTCAATATCCGTGGTGGGCAGATCACAGATAGCCCAATGTATAGCTTTGCTCTTAACTACGAACAAACAATTGAATAACTGATTTTATTTACCCTTTATTACTGAAACTAAAGATTTTGTTTACGTACACTAGATGGCAGGAAAGACTCTGAGAGCCGTGTGCATCTATGGCCTTGGCACGTGCACAAGTAGACTATAAAGTGTAGTGTTGGTAGAAGAGAAGAGGTGAAGTCTGTAGGTTAGGTGATCATTGTCGTATTTCTAGTCGGAGGTAGGAAGATGTCTTCAGGAAGCCAAGCGATTGATACTAATGCCATGACATTAATTCGATATGTCATGGCAGAACAAAAAAAATTTCCGGGTGCAACAGGTGATTTAACTGCTTTACTTAACTCTATTCTTACAGCATGCAAAGCAGTGTCATCAGCAGTTCGAAAAGCGGGAATAGCAAAAATGTAAGACTCTTGTTTGTTTGTTTTTTACGAGTAACTAAGTAATACTAATAACAGTTCTGATGAAATATTATTAATTGTTTGCCTTTTTGGTTTATTATTTTGGACTTTATGTTATGGTTACTAACTAAGTCATGAGAAATATTTTACTTTTAATGTGAACACTGCCTGAGCAACGTTGAAAGCTTGTAATTGTATGTGCCACTGTTTTCCAGCTTATTCATTTTACTTTTTAGTTTGTAATTTCATGGTGACTCATCATATTCCCAACTGATATATGTAATTCTTCATTTTTTGGAGTTTTCTTTATTCATTTCATAATTTAAAGAGCTGCTAATGATCACTAAAAAATTAGGCAATTGCATTTGTACCTATTAATGCTAAGGTAACCTTACACTGACAAAACTAAAAAATACTATTTAAGCATTTTAGCTATCCTATAATGACTTTATGACCCAAATTAGATTTATCATGCTATTATATGTACATAAGTCTTCAATATGTTAAATAAAGGGTTTAAATTGGTGAAACTTATTCTCTCTGTCTCCCTCATAACTACCAAGTCTGTTTTGCCATAGTAACACTAATAAGCAATACAAAACTTGGCCATAACAAACTATGCAGTATTGTATTCTCAATATGGCCCATTCTCTGCTGCCTTTTAATTGCTCAATGGTGAGTATTTAGGCTAACAGCACTAAAAACCATATTTTCATACCCATGGTGGGCACAGCGCAGATACCTTTCTATGTAACTTTGTGCTTAACAACTACAACAACCCTTATATGCTTCTCATATCTTTTTTCATTTTCTTAACACTACCTTAGCAAAGTATAGGCCTAAAATAACTTGGTTGCATGTTGGAATCATCTAATGCAATAGTTCTAAACCTATCCCATTATAACCATGTTGGGTGAATCAAGAAATGCAATTAGGCCTCTAAGTTGCAGATTATATCTTCAATTTCACCTTTGGTGCAATGAGATCTATAGTGCAACAATTTAAACAATTGTATCATCATGTATAGCTATATAATTTGACAACAGTTAAAGTAACAGCAGTTGATGAAGAATTGGCTTTGTGTTAGGACTCCAACAGAGTAAGAGTAAATGGGGTAGTTTTTGGGCAGTGTTAGCCAATTTGTTTATGATACCAAAATTTTGTATAGTTGATTTTATTGTGATTGCTGCTCTTATTCACAGTATTTATAATTTTAATGAATGGGGAAAATCAGTTTAAATGTTTTATAAATGAAAGACTTTCATTTGAAGTATAGAAATTTTGAAGACTTCTTGCCTAGTGTGTAAACATAGTATTGATGCTAAAGGGAAGGATTTTGGTCTAACTGTTGATACATTTGAAATAAAGGCACTTTTCTAAATGTGGTGAAATTTCTTAACTTTTGATGGAGTCTTGGATTCTTTTTTTATTTTAAATTTAGTGAGAAAGAAAGGGGAAAAAAGAAAGGTAAGAGTAATCATTTCTTATCTGTTGATACAATTTCTGATTCAAGAACAAGAATATTGTTAACTTTTGAGGCCTTCAGTGGGAAAATTATTAACATTTTGGAAGGAATGTAGAGATATTTTGAGGAGACCAGTTTATTTTCCCTAAAAAACCTACCTGGGAGGTTAACTGGAAATGATGTGGTCTGTGAGAATGTAGAGCAAGTTTTCAGAGACACTGTGCCCTAATGTGGTATCAGGATTCTGGTCTCCCTTGGGTCCCAGGGATGTCATGGTTGACACCCCCCCCCCCCCATATTCGTCAGGTACTATGGATGGTTGTCCTGACTGGGTTTTTGGATAGGTTGCTCTCCCCCATCACCTTCTGGGGCAGTTGTAGAAGTAATTTTAGATAATGGAAGAACTTGATTGGTACATGGGGAGGAGGTGTATTGACCCAGCAGTGATTGTGGGTATTTTAATTTTATACTAGTAAATCTAAGCTCTTTGAAACCTAGATGTAAACTTGTCTTTTTTATTATTATTCATTAGTTTTTAACACAATTATACCAAATAGAATGGCTTGCCTGTATTGATGTATTCCTTTTTCTTGTTTTCTTAATTCCTGTACCTATTAGATATAGAAAATTATGGATGCATTATCAGCACCAACCTTGATTCTTCTCTACTTAAGAACAAAAAAAGCTGTACTGTTAAACAGTTAGATTTTAAAAAATTAACTATTTTGTTTTGTATAACCTGCTGTGCATGTAGTTTGTCTCTATAGCCAGTGAGTATTTTACAAAGAATCATCTAGTTTAGATGTATAAATCTAAATTTCTGTCATTATTATTATTATTATTACATCTAGATCCAAACCTAAGATTAAAAAATGGAAATAACAGGTCTAACATTAATGTCAGATCTAGATGTATTAGTGACTTAATCTAGGAACTGTAATCTAGCACCACTAATTAGCTAGCCTATATTTAAGTTTTCTCATTCTATCAAAACCTTTATTAAATATAGCCTTTAGGCTTATATTATGTTATGATTACACCTGTCTCCACAGTGTGTGTGTTTGTGTGTGTAATTCTCATTTGAGTAATTTCAGATTTGTCTCTTGTAGTGTTTGTGTAGTTAAACCTATAGAGCTTTTAAATGTGATTTAGCAACTACCAGTAATTTATATGGTGCTCATAAGCATGATTTACCAGCATATACACTGATCTGCATTAATTTTCATACTGTTGTGTCATGTTAGCATGAGTATGGGTGGTCTAAATAATGGCAGTTAAAGTGAAATCAGGTCCAGATGTGCCTAACTAGTCCTGACTTGCAACTATAATTTTATAATTTAAGTATGATTTGTGGTTAGGAACTTAGGAAAGTAGAATGCTTCCTTTCATCTGACAATTTGCATTTTGCAACTAAATAGTAGTCAGAATTTATTAATTTATTCTTTTAGCTCATTATGTCCCAAAAAGAAAGTGGGACACGGGGATGCAAAAGATGTGCACAATTTACAGCTTCGATGATGGAGTCAAGCAAATTGAGAACTCACCTTGCTGGAAGTGATGACACCAGTAAGCCAGCATCTGTTCCTTTTGATAGCAGCGAAGAGGTCAAAGTGCAAGATTGTGAACATGCTATTTCATTTGAAATAGAAAACAATGTAAGAAACTGTTCTATGTCCTGTTGAAAGCTACAATAATAATAAACAAGAGGATTCCATTTTGTCAGAAACAAACAAAAGTGTTTCTAAGCTGAAAGAGGATTATCTAATAAATATTTTAACATGCAGGGATATTGGATTTATGAAGTTTGATACAACAGGCTCATGATGCCCATTAAAATAGTGAGTCGTCATGAGTCACTTGCTGCTTGGAAAGAAACAGTGCCGAGTTCGGCTTCATAGTGGCATTGATGAAGAGCTGCAAAGGCAAATTCAACAAGAAAAAAAATAAATGGAGATATGTACTACACGGTTGCTAGATTATACACAATATTTAGCTTCTCAGAATCTTGCATTTCGTGGTCATACTGAGGACATAAATGAAAACCCTAGAAATTTCCTGTCACTTTTGCAGTTATTAGCAAAGTATGATCCAGTAATGAGAGAGGATTTAGAGCATGTTAAAAACGAGTGAACGTTAACATCTTATTTTTTTCCTGAAATTCAAAATGAATTTATAAATCTCATGGCTTCACATGTGCAAAATTATTGTTTGTCAGCAATTCGTAGAAACAAATACTATGGTATTCTGTTCGATTCCACACCTGATTTAGCACATCTTGAGCAATTAGCCCAAGTGATTTGGTTTGTTGACATTGCCTTTAAGACAAGAAAAGTAGAAGTCAAAGAGACATTTGTTGACTTTATACAGATAAAGGAAAGAATACCAATATTGAGAAAACAATAAGCACAAAATTAGAAGCGGATGGAATCTTATTGAGTGATTGTTGTTCAGTGTTATGATAATGCTGCTGTTAGGTCATCTGTCAGGCATTCAACAATATTCTGAACCAAAATCGAAAATCAGTGTTTATAAACTGTGACAATCATAGTTTAAACTTAGCATGTCTTCATGCTATAAGTCAGGAAACAATAGTTATTAATTTTTTTGGTATAATTTAAGCCATTTATAATTTCTTTGCTCATTCAACAACTTGATGGGACGAACTGCAGCAGGAGCTTGATCTCTGTCAAGTGTGAATCAGAAACACTGTGGAATGCAAGAAAAAAGGCAGAAGAAGTTGTAAGTGAAAAACTGGATGAATTGCTAGGACTGTTAGAGCAATTAAGTGAAAATGGCAACACTGCTGAAACAATGTGGTGCTCATAGTATTCTACAATGCATGCTTACATTTGATTTTCTTGTACTTTTGCATTTTTGGAGAAATATTTTATCAGTCGAGTGCAGAAACGTCTTCAGGACCCAGGAATGAATTTTAGAGAAGCAGCAGCTAGTCTTGATTCTTTGAAAGAGAAATTGATAGAATCACGTGAAAAGTCTTGTCAAGAAACACTTAAAGTGGGCAAGAATCAATGTGAAAGATGGGGATTGATCATTGAAAGAAGAAAAATACGTCTTAAACAAATGTCAGGTGAAAATGCAGCTGATGCTGGATTGATCAGGAAACTTATTGCATCATGAAGGATGTTGTTGATTGCTTGATTATAGAAATAACTGGAATATTTTCTCGCTTACTAGATTTAGATTCACGGTTTGGATGTACAAAATATTGTTTCTGGAGAT